TTATTTATCTTCTTTCATTATTTTTATTCTTCTATTTTATTAAATGAAAATGAAAGAGAAATGAATAATGAAAAACAGAAACAACACACAAATATTAATACAAAATCAAATAATGAAATATCAAATAATATTTAGTTTAAGAGTATAAATAAAAAATAGTAAATTTTATTAAACAAATAAGAAAAGAAGAAATTCAAATGAAATAGTTTAAGTGTTAATAATGAATGATATTGAAATTAATTAATTTGATAGTTTTATTTCTAATCAAATTTTATTTTTCTTATTTTCATTCTTTTCACTTTTATAATTATTCTCTTCATTTTCTATTTGTTTTATCTTCTCATTATCTACTTATTATATCTTCATTTTCTATTTGATTTATTATTAATTTGGTTTTACTGAGACATTGTCTTTCTTGTTTATAATTATTTAATTCAAATGAATGATGTTGATTTAATTATTAACTACAATTTTCTTTCATCGTTATAACATTTATACCATTCATTGTCATTATTCTCTTCGATTATATCACACTTAAATATACTTTATCCATATTTTAGAATTGACAAATGATATTACAAATATTGAATTGATATGATGACATGGTTATTTGATGCACCACCATTCAACATTATCATTAGTTTTGATTTACAAAAATACACATATAAAAATACAAACAAAGTTATTCAATTATAAATATCATTCATCAAAATGACATTTAATAATAACTACATTCTTATTATTCAGTATTTTATTCATATAGTTTTGATTAATTTCTTTCATATTTTCTTTAAATATCATTTTTTTAAAAAAATGATATTTAAACATCACCAAAGTATTGAACAGTAAAAACTCAATGAAAGTTATTTCATTTAACCAACCACAATTTCTACATTACACTGATGAAAAAGATAGAGCAGAGAGAATAGTTAACATTCTTTCTAACAAAGATGTATTAACTTTATATGACTCAAATAATAGTTTATTATCTTCTACAACAATATTCAATTACATCCAAAGAGAAAGAGATGTTTATTTTGTCGCAGAAGATTATAATGATAATTGTTTTGGTTGTTATGTATCAAAAGCACCATCGTACATTGGAATTGGAATAACTGACCAACGTCATTACATATTCTCTTGTTCATTAGAAAGTGATGAAATAAACACATTTGATTATCGGATATTCACTACATCGTTTTACATTCCATTAGGTTCATCCATTATCTTTAGTTCTCCTTTTGCATTTGTTGTTGATAATCAGTTAAATTGTTCATTCTCTAAAGATATCAACGTTATTTATATGAAGGAACATAATTCATATTGTGATGTTTCTAAGTATTTTCCATACGTAGAACCCCCAAAGTCAATTCCATTGAAAAGAATACGTTTTTTTACATCACATACTATTATTAGTGATGATGTGAAAAAATAAGAATGAATATAAATAAGAAAGGAGATAAAATGTGTTTTAGTTTAATTGAATTAGTATTCCATTGAAAGAATAAGATAATTTTACGTTTTATGCAAAGAGATAAACAAATAGAGTTTTATATAATTATTCATCTTGTTTAATTTTTGAATGTTTTATAATTAGAAAAATCAATGAGTTTTCAATCAACAAATAAAATAAATAAACCATCAATGTAACTATGACATTGAATGTTACATTATTACAATATTATAATATTACAATATTGAAATATAAATAATTTTATTTTAGTCATTATTTGACGGTGAAGTATTATAATTCTTTTCTTAAAAATATGAAAACATCACCATTTCTATTCTTCAAATCTATTTGTACTATTTCATTATGTTATTTACTTTCATTTGGTTTTGTTTGTTTTACATTCATTGTCATTTGTTTTTTCCTTGTTTATTTTCTTTTTCTTCTTATCTTCAAATTATTTCATTTAATTTCTCATAACTTATTCTTATTCTACTCTTTTATTAATTTGTTTTATCTTTGTTATAAACATAACTTACTATTCTTATCTTTCTGATGTTATTATCATCATTAATTGATTTATATAATGTTTTTGTGTTATTATTTTAGTTATGAAATAATCATTCTAACATTGTGTATTGTGTATTTTCATATGAACATCATATCTATACTCATTTATTCATATTTGTTCTATCATAGTCATGTTAAAAACACAACATTTCATTGTATAAATAATTAGTCATTTGATTTTGAATAAACTATTGCACAAACAATTTCTTAGTTGATTTTAACATCTCTTTCAACATAATGAGATGGAAATATTCCTATTTTCCCTTTACTTTCTCCTTCCCACCATTCTCCATCAGTAGAAATAACTGTGATCCATTCTCCTTTTTCTAATTTCAATTCATATTCATTTTGTGGGTTGTAACTATAAACAACTCTTCCATGAAATACATTCGTTGGTTTTCTGGTGGTGTTTTGAACAGAGTGTGTTTTGACTGAATTGGTGATGACATTAGTCAGTTCTAAAATGTTCTTTTCTTCATCTTTCCAATGATATTGACTTACTCTCTCCCAAATTTTACTGTTCATTGTGAGACAACCCCATCCTTCT